TCTCTGCTCAGTGTCAGTAATCTTAAATCCAAAATATCGCCATATTACAGAGGTAGAGTTTTTTTTGGCTACCAGATCAGTGTCGATCTCCTCGCCATCCATCTTCGTTCTGGTCTCTCCGCGCTGCGCTGCGCACACAAGTGACCACTGACCACGCCCACGCACGCCACACGTGCACTGCCTATACTGAGACTGACCGAGACGGCACAGAAAATCGGAAAACTGTTCTCAGAAAGTATGTGTTCTCAAGTCCACACACTTATTTATTTAATATCGCAACATTTTGCCGTCATATAATCGCACAGGTTGACATCGCGATTGCGATTGCGATACGATTAATCGTGCAGCACTACTCCTGAGTAAAGACTCCTGTATGCCTGCGCACCCTTCAAAATGAGCACACTTCAGACCTAGGGAAAGGACTAATGAAGCCAGTGGCATTCCCCCGTCAGCCTTTCAGTCTGTTATGAGCCCTGATCGCTGTTCCTAAACAACATAAGAGCCGCATTACTTTTCCCTAATGTGCCGACAATATGTAATATTTTCCTGTGTCCTGACATCATACAGGACGCATGCGATGTGCTGAGCAGCGAGATCCGAGAACATACACGTGTCTGATTTTTCCCTGTTTTCCAGCACCTCAGTCTTTTCCTATACAGAGTTATGATTGGTGTGACCTGTACAAATGATTATCCCGACCGCACATCAGACAGATGAAAGCGCTTGTGACCTTCATTGAGCCATACAAATAGAAATCTGCCATTAGAGACCTCTTTAATTTCATAAAATATGCTCTTGCTGGCTTTGTGCACTTTTTATTTGCATAATACTTGTTGTACACCAGGCTGGTGTTAATTCACAGACATCTATGACAGCTCTAACTTGGAAAGCATTTACATTGGTAGGCAGGATAATTATGTTGCCTTCAAAGATGACTTCTTTTTGCCCAGTTTTAAGGCAGCATCACATACATGCTTTGTGGAGAAGGTAATGCATTGCGTTAAGCATCCAAGATGGCATTTGATCTGTTTTACCCAATATTTGTACGTGCTTCGTATTTTTATGCTGTCATTGAGTATTTTAGTACTTATTATTTTAATGGTTGGTTATTTGATTTTAGTATTTGATTATTTAATTATTTTAATATTTGATTATTTGGTTATTTTAATACTTGTTTATTTGAATATTTTAATACTTGATTTTTAAATTATTTTAATTTCAATATTTGATCATTTTTATACTCAATTATTTGATTACTGAAATAATAAAATGTTAAAATCAAGCAATAAAATATTTTAATATTTGATCATTTGATTATTTTAATACTTGAATGTGATTTTTTTTAAATACTTAATTATTTGATTTTAGTATTTGATAATAAAGTATAAAAATATAAAAATAATTAAATTATTTCATTATTTAAATATTTAAATATTTGATCATTTTATTACCCAATTATTTGCGATTAATTTAATATTTGATTGTGATATTTTATTATTTCATCAAGTTATTTGAATTTCCTGTTGGGTCATATCTATTTCCTTTTCAGTTAGGATGCTGCCATTGTAGGGAGTAGCTCACTAAGTTTGGGGACAGAGCCATTCATTTAAATTTCCTAGATTTCTCCGCATGCCACAGCATCCGTAAGAGGTCTTCCTCTTCTGACACGGATGTCAAAACTGACGCTTTAAGAGGGCAAGTGCTGTGTGTTCCTGCTCTCTTGTGGGGGGTTAGAAACTTATCTTTGTCTGATAGGGTGCAGTCCTCCTTGTGTTCATTTTTGCTGTAGATAAGACCGCAGGACCTCAAAATCACTATCCGTTTCAAGCTCTTTAGCGCCAGGAGAGCTTCGCCACCTCACATCAATCAGCGGATTAAAATAGCACTGTATACAGCAGTACATATACCTGTGATTACTCAAGCTGCGTTCAGCTTCTCAAGAGCAATAACAGAAATGTCCCTACCTGGCTGGTGTTTATCATTCTAAGACCTGCAATTTAAGACCTGGCTCTGAGCATTGTGGCGTGTCCCTCTCAGCAAGCAGTGTTTTGTGGATCGGTTTCTCTTGGAAGGTTTCTGGCATAGTCTCCGGCCGTGTCTGTACCCTGGAAAATGCTGCTTTCTCAGGCAGTATATGGAGGAAGACAACAAGGCATGTTTGAATCCAAAATATGCATAACAACATGTCTACGTAGGCGGTTGGTTGAAAGAATACAAATGGTGTCAGACAGAGCAGTTGAAAGTTGATAAATGTGACCCTGGACCACAAAACCAGTCATAAGGGTCAATTTTTGGAAATTGAGATTTATCCATCATCTGAAAGTTGAATACATAAGCTTTCCATTGATGTATGGTCTGTTAGGATAGGACAATATTTACCAGAGATACAACTATTTGAAAATCTGGAATCTGAGGGTGCAAAAAAATCGAAATACTGAGAAAATCGCCTTTAAAGTTGTCCAAATGAAGTTCTTAGCAATGCATAGAACTTATCAAAAATTAAGTTTTGATATATTTACAGTAGGACATTTAATAATTTTGACCCATACAATGTATTTTTGGCTATTGCTACAAAATCCTCATGCAACTTACTGGTTTTGTGGTCCAGGGTCACAAATGTCCTTAAATTTGAAAAAAAAAACAAAAAAAAAACTTGACTTGTCGTCTTGGCCATTTCGTACAAAACAATTTGTTCAAAAAAAGTCATACGAAAAGTAAGCATGAAGCTGTATGAATTCACAGAAATTTGCCACCAGTTAACAAAAATGTAAAATTTTTGAATTGTCATTAGTGTTGGATATTTTGAATATTTATATTTATATAGTGTTTTTAATTTTTGACTATTTTAAGTATTTTTATATTTTGGATTTTTTACTTTATTCTAGGTCACTGATCATGAAATCTGCGGACTTTCATCATTTTCTACACTGATTTTTCAGGATAAACTTTTGAGAAACAAGAACTATTAGAGTTATACTAATGAATTGGTTATTTTTAATTTTTGAAAATTTGAATATTTTTTTAATTTGAATAGTTTGAATATTTAAATTCGTTCTAGGTCACTGGTCATGAAGTCTTCTGATTTTCAGCTTTTTTCCTGCTGATTTTCCAGGAAGTCTGCGGAATTCTGGATTTAAATAATAATGGATTAAATATAATAACGGAACAATGGATTGAAATTTGGTAAAAAGTGTTTTAACCAAGATGAGAGTACTACACTTTTTATTGGCACTCATGTTGAAATTTAGCCATAGTTTTTAGGATAATGAGTAAAGAACCAACAGGCATGGATGTGTGCATGTATGCTGCTGATAGAGCTGTTTCCTGCTGCAGAGGGAACGGCAGTACAGACGGCTGGAGTGGAAGAACAGGTTCATTAGTGCCACAGGTCTGCGGTAGCTACACCAGCCATCGTCTTTTCTGAGCTGTTGAGTTCACTCAGTGTTTCAACTCAGCAGATTCTTTAGTAGTAAGTAAACTGCATGTACAGTATAACACTCATTTTAGCTGCTGGCTTATGTTCGTTTGTTTTAGTGTTTTGATTCTTTGTTTGCATGAGATTGTGATATGATAATGATAACTTTCTGGCCAGTAAGTGAGTAAGATTCAGTCGATTCAGTAGCTGCTCTGATTGATTCAGTGAGTTAATTCAGTGAAGGATTTGTCAGACTGATTCAAGCCAGTTTGAATGATTCATTATAAGAACCGTTTCTAAAGAGTCATTTGTCTGTGAATCAGACTACGCTGGTCATGCTGCATGATTGTTTTTGCATGCAGCCCATTAGAACAACTCAAAAGATTTGCACTGTGAATTGGGGCTGTGCGATTAATCGAAATCGAATCGAAATCGCGATTTGAGACGTTGCGATTTCCTAATCGCAAAGCCTGCGATATGGACGCGATATTACTCTGTTCCAGAGCATATGCATGACTGCCAGCCTTGAGTTGCAGTCTTACTAACCAATAAAGTGAGCTGAATTTACAGTAGCAAAAGTGATGCAGTAAACTGGTGTTCATGCACCAGTGTGTTATCTGTTGCTATACTTGATTTGGAATAACTTTCCAGGTTTGGCATCTTTTACTTGTATAATCTGACATAGTTTGAATTTTCAATTTAGAATATCTGAATATTTAAATTTATTCTGGGTCGCTGATCATGGAATCTGCTGACTTTTAAGGATTTCCTACGCTGATTTTCTGGGAATTCTGGATTTAAATAATGGATTTTAGTATAATCATTGAATAATGTATTTAATATGGTGAAATGTTTTAAAGGAGCTGAGAGTTACTTCACTTTTATTGGCAGATTAAACCATAATGAAATGTAGCTGTACTGTTTAGTTTAATAATTTAAAAATAATAGCAAAAGCTTTCCTACTAAAACAGGATAATTGAAAAACTTTAATAATAAGACTTAATTTGAACTATCTGTAATTTATTGGATTGTGAAAAGTTACCAGAAGGAAGACAGTTAAAACTAGTTAAAATAAATAAGAGGAAGGTTGTTGCGGAGTTATTCAATTTTGACAAAAGATTGTGAAGATTTATAATTTTTAGCAATTCACAGAATAATCAATACGGTTATTAGGAAAATAGACAAGCTCAATTCTGAGTTTATGCAGACTTTAAAGATGCTTGTATTGTGTTATGGCACTTGTTCTAGGAAAACATTTAGTGCTTTTCTATTTCTGTGGCCGTGTTCCTGACAATGGATGTTTGGGCATTTATGGAGCTGTCCAATAAAGATAAAACGCATAAAGAACTAATTTCCCAGTAACTTCTCAGGAAATCTTCTGGATTACATCATACGCCTTTGGGTTGTAATTAGCTCCGTTTCATGGAGTTGCATCCACATGTTTTCCTCGTGTACAGCGTTTGAGAATCTCCTGTCTGGTTCAGCATGGTTCATGTCTTAAATTTAACGGTGTAAGTAAACACAGTTTTGTTTCTGTGTATAGCTACAAATGCCTATGTATATAGAATATCTTCCACCGTCCCCCGAGGACCCCTGGGCCATCACTCTCTCTCCATGTGTGGTGTCATGGACAGGGTCTGTGTCGGAGAACAGCTGTGGGCCGTATGGCAGCGCAACACCCCCACATTCCTCCCCTCCAAGCAAGTTTTCATTTGTAGCTGACAGCTTCATTGGGCTTCTTTGTCCCCGGGAGGCCCCGGGGGTGGATGACTGTTGTTGTCTTTACCCAGGGAGCTCTGTTTCTGTGGCTTAGCAGGCCTCTCCATAAAGTTCTTCTTTTGAACGGGATGGTTTCCATGATGTTCGGTTCTTAAAACATCTACATCCTTCTAAAATACTCATCCAAGCATTTATTTGATCAAAAATGCACAAAAAACAGTGATA